GAAAATTTTTTTTTTTTTTTTTTTTTTTACTTTTTTTTTTAATGCTCTAAACAATGTAATGACATGAAAAAAGACACATTTTTTCCTAAAATGTTTTGCTGGGTCTTAAGAGGTTAAATAAGGCTCTATATAAATAAAAAACTATTGAAAATGAGAAAATCTTAAACCAAAATTAAAATGAAGATGGGAAATCTAAAGCTAAAAGCTATTTTAAAATACTGCATAAATAATATTAAAATAACAGCATAGAAATATGCTGAAAACCCCTTTAGCAATTGCATAACAACACTCTTGCAACCATTTAGAACACCTTATCAGCACGTTTTGATTGTGCACACATTGGATTTTCTCTCACCTCTAGAAAAATGCTCCTTGACTTCTTTACATAGCCATAGAGATGCCATGAATGGTTAACCATGATAGCCAAACCCACTCTACTCGTTGCCTGTCTGGGCATTTTTATCTAAGATCTGCCTCACATTTTAACCGTCTCATGATCTGAGCTCATCTTTAGGATTTCTCCCGTAGTGGCTTAGATTAGGATTTCAATAATAGAAGCTTGTCCCATATCAGTATCACAGGGCTAAATGTGTGCATGTGCAGGCTTGAGAACAAGGTCCTAACCTGCTAAGCTGTTCATCATTTATTTAAATTCGACTAGCCACTTAAACCAGCACAATTAGCAGTAGTTTGATAACTGCCATAGGCTGTAGCTGTGGTGTGTATATATAAAATCAATGATTTAAATAAATGATTCTCTCACCCCAAATTGCATTTAACTTGGCTGGAATATCTTGTTTACTCTTATAGTTCTATAAAATGCTGAAGCTCTGCTGTATTGTCATAGAACAGCTATTTTTAGCAGTGCCTAAGATGTATACTCTGAATATTATATAGTGCTTTGGTTTTTGCTAGGCTAATTGCAGGTTAGTGTGAGTAGTGTGTGTGCACACATTAACGTATCTTTTCATCATCTTTCTGCCTCCATACCCAAGCTCCCTTTTTCCCTGCAGTTATCTTTCATTTCACCTTTGCCCTCATATCCACCTTCCACCATCTATTGCCTTTCTCTCATTACGCCCTTACTCTGTTACAGAGGAGTAAATTTGTCACTTGCCACCCCCACCTTGGAGAGCGTGTTACCAAGGGCATGTTAGTTACCATCCTCATTCATCAGTGCCAGGTGCTAATCTGTACAGAGGGACTAACCTTAATATCTAGCATCAGCTATGTTTTTGTTATTGTAGCGACATTTACGACAGACTCCCATAGCTGATTCCTCTTTAAAGGCTTTATAGTGTTTCAGTGCCTTTTGTTGGGTAGCATCATTTTATTGATCTATTTATAGAGTATATACTTCGGCATATGCACACATCATTCAAGGATTGTGCAAGTACAAGATTGGTGTACCATTGCCCGAAATAGCTCTAAAGGCACTTTTTTTCTTCTGGAACATTCTGCTCTTCTTTAGAGCACTTTCAGTCGATTTCTCTTGCTCTTTGCAACATCAAAAGAGAGAATGATGCAGTGAGAAAGTATAAAAGTAGGTAAACTGAAGGTGTGACCAGCAGAAATCACATCCTGTGTATTTACATCACCAGTGCAGAGAGCAGAGGATTGCACCTTTTGTGTGTTCTCACTTGGCTCATTGAAGTGGAAAACAGGAAGTTGAGCCGCTGACTATAATAGCGACTGTCTGGTGGGACAGTCTACTGGTGCTTTGCATGTAGACGTTTTGTTTAAAATATATTGATAACATTTATATTGTTAAGATTCTATACATTAAAGAAAGTAAACTTACCAAGGCTGCATTTGTTTGATCAAGAATGCAGAAAAAAAAAACAGTAATATTATGAAATACTACAAATTTTACAATTTAAAATTTAAATTTGTTTGTGTTCTGTTTCAAAATGCCATTTATTCCTGTGATGGCAAGCATCCAAAAGTTTTTAGCATCCATTCCTAATCTTCAGTGTCAAATGATCCTTCAGAAATCCTTCTAATATGCTGATTTGGTGCTCATGAAACATTTTGAACAATTTTAAAAACAGTTGTGCCGCTTAATATTTTTATGGAAAGTGTGATACTTTCTTCTTTTCCCCCCTCAGGATTCTTTGATGAAAAGAAAGTGCAAAAGAACAGCATTTATAAATGTATAAATGTCTTCACTGTCACTTTCCATTCATTTAAACGGGCGAGCACCAGATTTTCTACAGAAAAAAACAAGTGTAAAAGTCAAGCTGTTTGTGTCAACTTTGACAGTTTAAGTGTGTTTGACTGGAAAGGGATACGAGAGACGCACACACTCAAGCATGGAGGAAGGGGAGGGTTAGAATGTAGCTGTGAGCTTTAACAGTCTCTCATAGACCAGTTGATCCCAGCTACAGCTCAGAATAGCTGCCGGGAAAGTATTTTGAAAGAGAATAAAACTTGTTTTGGAGTAGTAGCTGAGAGCAGTGTTGCCTGCTTCTTTGTTTTGCCAGCATCATACACCAAATCTATGCTGGAACACCACTGAGTGTGTATAAATGCATGTTTGTGTCTCTTTTGTGCACTTTTGTATTTGTATATACTGTTTTGCTTCACTCTGTATAGCTGAATTCTCACTGGCTAGTTGAGGGCTGGCTCATGTCTCAAGCCACGCCCCCAAGCATTCCTTATATGGGTACGAAACGTGAGCTCTTAAAGGAGAAGTAGCTTTATGTGTCTCTGTAAAGCATGTTTTCAATTTAAGCCTGTCTAAACTCCACAACCAATCCAAGACATAAGAACTTCACCATGTGCTTGATGTAACACCTCCAAACATCTTTCCCCGTTTACACGCACATGTGCAAGGAAACCCTCATACCTTCTCAGCGGCAGCTCTCCACACCTCCCCCTCTACCTCACTCACTGCATCTAAAGCGATGAAATTAATCTGTGTCTACATGTGTTAATGCTTTCGTTTAAGTGCATGCGGAATTGCGTCTCCTTATTTGGAAGATGCTGCATGCGTTTGAAAGAAGTCTGTGGCACATTGCCTGCGGACACACTTACACAAACGTACACACACACCCAACCCTTCACACCCATCAGAATCTCTGTTTCTGTGGAAGGGCAGATAACACACTTTCATGCAGAGACATATCCGCTCAGCTGCGCTTCCCTTTTTTGCTCTTTTTTTCCCCCCTTTTCTTTATTTTTCTTGATGTATTTGAGTAAATGATATTAGCATCTAAAGAGCATGCTCATGCATTTCTATGAACGCTGAAATATGCTTATATTTGTGTACACTACTAAGTCTCTTATGCTCATCAAGCCTCCATTTATTAAAAAAGTGTAAAAATAGTAATATTGTAAAACATTTTTACAATTTAAAATGTTTTTATTATTATTATTTAAAATATTTTAAAATATCATTTATTCCTGTGATGGCAAAGTTGAATTTTTACCAGCCATTACTAGAGTCTTCATTGTCAAATCATTCTCATATGCTGATTTGCTGTTCAAGAAACCGTTCTCAATATTATCAATGTCTGAAACGGTTGTGCTGTTTGATATTTTTGTGGAAACCATGATACTTTTAATATTAGGATTCTTTGATGAATAGACAGTTCAAAAGACTATAGCATTTATTTGAAATAGAAATCTTTTGTAATATTATAAATGTATTTACTGTCACTTTTGATCAATTTAACACATCCTTTCTGTCTAAAATTATTAGTTTCTTTAAAACAAATACAATTTCCTGACTCCAAACTTTTAAGAGTTCTCACTAAAACTAATGTGAATCTGTTCAATGGCATATTTGCCTCCAAAGTAACACGTTTGGGTTGCTCTGGAATGCCTCTATTAGTCAAACTATATATATATAGATATATACACAAGCTGGCACTAATGCACACAATTACTCACTGAAGCTCTTTGAAGGAATTTCGGTAGGGTGGAAAGAGAGATTCACAGTTGGGCATACCAGAATAGCAGTGCACAGAGAGCATAAACAGCGTGATGTGTTTTTACAGACTGCTTGAGCAAGAAACCTTGATTGGACTTAAGTTTTGTATGTTTCTCTCTCTCTCTCTGTCTCACTCCTCTCAGGGGAGGAACAGAAAGAAAGGCCAGCACTCCCTCATTCCATGCAAGTAACCTTTCAACTCCTCACAGTCTTGAAGCAACAACAAGCACAACTCTAGAGCTCCGACAGAGAGGACGGAGAAACAGAGGAGGAGGAGGAAAGGGCAGGAGTTCTTAGAGAGGTGAGTCAGGAGGCTAATGTGAATTTTGTAGTGTGTTTATGGATGGTTGACGTGAAATGTCTAGCAATGACAGCAGTGTGACATGGCATACTTCAGCTAAAACTATTGCAGACATGTTGTGTGAGCATTGTACATGCAGTTTTATGACCTTGTATTAAATGACAGGCTACATTTTGAATAGTTGTACATTTGTTACAGCACAGGCTATTTAAATGAACCGCAAACTAGCCACAGTCTGTTTTAAATGGTGAAAAAAGCAGTTAAAACACCCCAATTGTATGCTTAGACCTAAAATGTTAACCTACAATTTCGATTACATTTGACATTTTTATCAGTCTTTGACACATCAGTGTCAGCCCCTTATGTATTCATGTAGATTTTAACCTAAAATTTTGATCTGTGTGTTTATGGATAGTGTGACATTATACTTTTTTTTTTAAACAACATATATGTATTATTTCTTATAACTCTTATATAAAGTTTTTATGTCCTTATATGAATTGATACAATTGAATTGACTACGAGGAACATTGGTGCAAATGGTGAATAACAGTATATATAAAATATATAACGGTATATACACTGTTAAAAGTTTCCTGTAGAAATTACAGTAACTTTGTAACGGGGCTGACGAGACAATCTCAAATGAGTTTCCGCTCTCTACCAACGAACACCGTGAGGAAACTGCGCGTCCTGCAGTGTCAGCGTTTTTTTATTATTATTATTTTGCTTTTAATTACACCAACAAATAACCCCTAAAATTACACTGACATAAAATATGTAACGAAAAAGCAGGAATATTGTACATACATTTGCAGCTGCGAGGTGTGTGCGTTTTCCTTTTCTTCTTCTTCTTCTTCTTCTTCTTTCTCCAAGCAGAAAAAAAGCCTTTCTGTTATTGGTCAGGTTTCGCGCTCATTTTTTTTTAACTGTATTTAGATTTACAGTAAATGAAAAATACTGTATTTTAATGGCGCCAAGAGGATATTTTCCATAATGCAACTTTAAAATACAGTAACGTACTGTATAACTGTTTTACAGCAAAGTACAGTTCATATTACAGTTAAATACTGTGTAATTTACAGAATTCGCTAACAGTGTACAATGGTGATTTTAACCTAATATCGTTATTTTCAAGTACTGTATGTTATTTATCAACCACCCATTTATGAACGTTGGTGGTTGGAAGTGGAAAAGGAAGTAGCTTCAAAGAGAACTTAGAAAAAAGTGTGAGACAGCTGTTTTTTCTCTCTCTCTCTCTCTCTCTCTCATCATATCTGTCAATGCACAAATGAATCAATGACATCATGACCCTTGCCACATGTAGAGATAATATTTCAGCCCTTGGTTTTACAAACTGGCAGGCTTTTAGCTGCGGAGAGATAAGCTTAGTCAGAGGTGAGCTTGTGAGTGTTTAGTCTTTGATGCTGCTGTAGTTTGTAAAGACATTTTGTGACTTCCTCAGATGTAAAAGCCAAGTGTTGGCCTCAAAGGCTGCACACATCATCACTGTAGAGGTCTGCACTCATGCCCATGAGATGTTCTTTCTCACTGACTCACTCTCTCACATTCATAGTGAAAATGAATTAATTGTCTTTCTTTATTGTTTGAGTAACAACACCTGTTGGGTATAAGTGTGGCATATTTTAGCTTTCTTGAATTAAGTATTGTTTGTTTGAGAATATTTTCATGTTTCCATTAAAGCCAAAGAAGGAAGTGGCTTAATGCTCTTTTTTGTTGTTGAGTTTTTGGCATCCAGATAATCCAAAAATATGTCCATAGTAAAAACAAACAAACAAAGAAAAAGTTATTGGCTATATAACTGTGATAAACAAGCTCCATGGTGGCTCTATAGGGAGAATGCCTCTTTAATAAAGCTTGGGTTTAGCTAGTTTTACCAAAATGTTGTTTGGGCTCAGTGGTCAACCATGGAAACAATGCTTAACTGAAGCTCCAGTGTAATTTTTGATTGTTTGGCTCCTTGAGCCCTTCAATCTTTCATCTATGTTATTGTGATCCTGAATTGAGGAACCGTAATGTGTGGAATTAATTATTTTTGCTTTGATCCACTTCCTTCACTTCATAATTCTCAGATGCACAGCTATGCATTCAAGAATTCCAATAACTAAAGACGAGCACAAATGCCATCCATTGCTGTGTGATCATAAAAAATCTATTTGTTTTTCATATCCCCTTAATTTTCTACTCATTCATCTTAGGGAGTTTTCCATGGCTCAGTTGCTCATTGGGGTGTAAAGACACCATATTATGTAAAGCTGCTTGGAAATTGGCTGTATTATTCACTATACAAATGAAACTGACTTGACTAATTCTTGACTGACTTCTTTCTCCTAAATAACACCTAGTACCCAGAAAAACATCATACAGCTGACAGCTGTTCATGCTAGTCTTGGATGTTTGGTTTCCCCATCTATTTTCTTCTGCTCCGTATTGAATTCTCTGGGGGTGGGGATGAACATTCTTGCTTTTTTTTACAGACAGAGTGGATAAACTGAACTCTCAGTGTGTCCTCGGTTTGATAATGTAAGCTAGACAACAATTCATTGCAATTCAACGGTAATAAAATATGAAGATTTGTAGACTGTGTGAAACAACCATATGAAGAGATTTCAGGAATAGGACTAAGCTAAGCTGATAATGAAATCATGCAGTCTCTGACAGCAATAAATATTAATGACTGGTAAAATGAGTATGTTTCAGAAAAAAAAAACATTTGATTGCACAGCTGAGAACGCACAGCATTACGTTTATGAAAGTGAAAGTGACGTGACATGTGGCCAAGTATGGTGACCCATACTTGGAACTACAATTCCTGCTGGTACGAGACTCGAACCCGCAACCTTTGGGTAACGAGTCCGACTCTCTAACCATTCGGCCACGACTTCCCCACGTGTGTATAACTGGCATCATGTGCTTAGAATAAACACACATTACATCTCTCATTCTACTCTCCGGGCAACATGTTGGTGTGTAACGCTAGTATGTTAGTTGGTTACTGTGTGTGTGTGTGTGTGTGTGTGTGTG